ACTCGGAAAATTAGTTTTTGTTCAAGAATGTACGTGTGCGAATCTTGTTGAAAATTTTCCTGATATTTGCAAGAGATCAGAGGAAAAATCGGTGAAATTTTCAATTAGAAATGCCCAAGATTTTCCCGGTGAAAATATAATTTGCTAGGGGAAATGCGGCAACACTGGAATATAGTCACGTTCTTTCTCAGGGGAAACGACGACATGACGTCACCTTCCGGGCAAAGTATCACAAGCGCCATGCGACGTTTAAAAATTTCCGCCGCCATTTTATTTTTTTACAGAGAAATTTCTGGTTGAATTTGTCTGAAAATTTCACTGAATTTTATTGGCAGCACAAAGGAAATTCAGTGAAAGTTTTGGACAGCTTCGTTGAACAATTTCTCTGTAAAAAAATAAAATAGCGGCGGAAATTTTTAAACGTCGCATGGCGCTTGTGATACTTTGCCCGGAAGGTGACGATGTGAGGAGGGTTTCTCGAACAGAACTTGGGCCAAAGCTGACTTCAAGCACCTCCAGGAAGGAGAATTTCCATATTTCAATCTGGATCCTTTTTCCAGATCGATGTATCCATCCCAAGTAGCAGTGATCACGACAAGTTGCGATTTGATCGGAGAATGTATATTAACGATTCTACTGACGTCGATTTATTCGAATGTAATCAGTCAGAAAAATTACAATGAAATCGCCATTTTATCGACGGCGATTTACAGCGATATTATCGAGCAAAAATTCGTGATAAATCTGGATAAAATTTCGATTTCATCGAACGCGATTTTATAGGGATAGAATTAAAACGAGATTGGGAATAATTGTTCAGATGTTGATGATTCAAGTGATTTTATCGCCGAAAAATCATGAAAAAATCGCAACTTAATTTGAAAATATAGCGATTTTTCCCTTGCAAAATGCTACTTGGGGAGGTGGTGGCACTTGGATTGGTCAGTACAGAAAAAAATAAACTAATTTCAGATGCTCTCGATGCTCATACCTTTTACAGACACGCTAGTTCGTCAACCTTTAGAGGATGAAACTGTAAAAATAAAAAAAAATCGGACGAGAAAATGGTGACTAATTTACGTTAGTTCCTTTTCGTTGAATTCGATCCAATTAAATTGATAAATATTAGATACCTAACAATGCCTGATTTCTCGAAAAAGCAAAGTAATAATGCAGCATTTACAAGCCCACTTCGAAGCACAACTTCTCTGGAAATACTTTACGAACCCCCCCCCCTCCCTTCTTTTGCACTTGCTTCCTTCTCTCATTATAGTGGAGCCATGAAAACACAGGGTGGTTCAAAAGAAAGTATCCATCTTGAATGTCGTTTGAACGCATTTGGATGTCGAAAAACGCCAAAACGCGTGTTTAATATTCGTATGGATTCAATATTGTTAGAAAAAGGCCCAAAAATGCAACTGTGTGGATAAGACGTCCGCTTAAAAAATACATTGAACTTGGGTTTTTTGGCATTTGAATTAGATATTCAAGGAGGTTATTTCCTTTTGAAACACCCTGTATAATCCGATGACTTAACAAGTCGCTTCGCTCACGGCAAGGCGCTGTGCGAGGACGTGCAAGCCGAACTCAAGCGCCTTCATTTTTTATGTATGCAAGACGCACGTCCATTGAGCTGGTATAGTTGCATCCAGGCGCCTTCATAAACGTTGGGCAGCATGCAAACCAGCCGATGGAAATTATTCGTATTACGAATGATCGGTTGCAAATTTTCTTCAGAACTTCTTTGTTATTTTTCTTTGTGATGGAAGAAAATTGCTAACTCTGTGAAATGTATACCTATCAACGAGTACACGACTCAGTTTTCAGTTAAAACGTTCGAATGCAATTCAGCCTCCTTGCTCTTGCCCTTTCAATTATACTGGCTAATTTCAGTTTAAATCGAATTCCTGATTTGTCAAGAAATTTTACTTTCAACTTAGCTACATTCGAGGTTATCCTTATCGATGGTTAAAGTGGGAAACCACGTATCTCCATCAGTGGCGTGGCGTGAGTTGCGATATATCGATTGTTATGCAATTTAAACCTATGTAAAAGGATCGATAAACAGGGTGTTCGCAGCGAACACCTTAATGATCGATTCTTTACCATAGGTTTAAATGGCATAACAATCGATACATCGCAATTCACGCCACGCCACTGATTTCCATCGCAATGTGTTAAAATTTCAACTCCTAATTGATTTTGTTGTGGAGACAAGTCAACTTTACAGATTGAAATTCGTTCATGCAGAATACTATGCTAGCAGAGAAGCAAAATCAAGGATTTTCAAAAAATTATGGTGACTGGTTTTCCGAAGCAAAAATGAAGTATAACAAGAAGTTTGCAACGTCGCAAATAAGGATACGTGGTTCCGTCTTTTGCCATCGATCAGTAGCGTGGCGTGAATTGCGATATATCGATTGTTATGCAATTTAAATCTATGGAAAAGGATCGATACATAATAATCGATTCTTTACCATAGGTTTAAATGGCATAACAATCGATACATCGCAATTCACGCCACGCCACTGTCATCGATGGACAAGAAGAACAAGGCAACAAAAGTATTATGAGAATATCAGCTTATTATTTTTAATAATAACTCTGCACAATTGGAAGTAATATAACAATTTGTCCTTTTTTACTTAAATGCTGCGAAATAAATTCATACATGTTTTACTTGTTTTGGATCCTTACCATTGTTGCTCACAAGACTGTGGTAAAAGTTAAAGATAATTTTGTACGGGAATCAATAAATCAGAGTTAAGATAGGTACCAAGCATATTTCCCTAAAGCACATTGGAGCAGAGTACCCTTCGGATGGGAAGAGATTCTGAGCGAAAAACGCCGTATGAACCTTCAGGCGTCGCCAAATTTCCTTTGATCAAACACGAATTTCTTGGTAAATTTGTGAATATTTTCTCCCAGAATTTTCAGACAATTTTGTATGCAATTTAATCTAAAATGTCTGAAAACTTCAAAGAAAAATGTGCATGAATGTCGTCAAAAATACATGTTTTATCAAGGAAAATTTGACAACTCTCGAATGTTCATACTGCGTTCTTCCTTAGCACGGCAGTATGAATCACCTATGCTGCCGTGCTGAGGAAAAACGCCGTATGAACTTCCGCAGGTTGCCTTTCCCCGTGTGGAACATTCATTTTCCAAGGAAATTTATGAATATTTTCCTTTGAAATGTTCAGATTCTGTAGATTGAAAGGACCACTGGACAAGGTACGAATTTAAGCATTCTGATAAATGATTCTTAACAAGAATTTCACGTAGAGCACGATTCGCGCAACGAAAACTATAATGAAATAAACCCCAAACAAAGATATTCACGTTTTTATTTCACATTGGTTACGAGGAATTTTAACTGCCCGCTGACAAGAAACTCAAAGCTCTACGTGAGTCAACTCGCGCACTACAACGGTTTCAACAAGCTTCTCAATCGGGTAATGTTCATTTCCCACCATGTGTCGTTCAAACTATAAGCAATTTGCTACAGCTGAGCCAAAGCGTCAAGATTGAGGTTGCCAGATGTTTATATCGCAGAGATTTTTATATCATGATAACGTTTAGCGCATGCGCATGTGAATCACGCAGAGCATTGAGTTTTCATGAGCGGGTGGTTTGAATTCACGCATCAAGAATCATTAAATATCTTCGGAAGGAGTTGATTTCGGTAATTTTCGTTGTGAGCGTCGTATTTTAAGTGAAATTTTAGTTAAGAAACATGTATCAGAATGCTGAAATTTGTACCTTTTATAGTGGTCCATTGTGACTAAAATTCTCTGAAAAATTAGGAGAGAAATTTACTTAAGTTTCCCTGAAAATTCGTATTTTATAAAAGGAGATTTGGCAACGCCTGAAGGTTCATACGTCGTTTTTCCTTTGCACGACAGTATAGGTATTAGGCAATATGGCTGCTCAATTAATTTGTCCACGATGCAAGGTGCAACTCCATTCGTTTTTGTTGCGTCAATGAAAAGGTTTAAAGTGTCGCTCAGGGTGCGAACGCCAAACTGTACGCTGTGTTCAAAGAGCCTTCAAAACGTTGTGTATGCAATTTGGCTGCGCACGAGTTGAAATAGTTGCTCGAACGTGACCGAGATATTTGTGGGCATCTTTGCTATCTTCTCAGTTTGTGCGTTGTGTTCTTTTATTGGAATTGAAACAGATTGTATATTAAATTCTGCCGTGCTAAGGAAAAACGTCGTATGAGCGAGTATTGCCAAATTTCCTTTCAGAAAATTTTTATTTTTTTAAAAAAATTATGAATATTTTACCTTAAAATTTTCAGAATTTTCAGATCTAATTGCGATCAAAATTCTCTGTAAAATCGGAAGAGAAATATTCACAAATTTCCCCGAAAATTCGTAATTTGTCGACGGAAATTTGGCAACGCCTGATGGCTCATACAACGTTCTTGCTTAGCACGGCAGTATTGTAGACCCTGTTTAGTATGTTCCCTAAGATTTTTGTTGATTTGGGTGGTTGGTCATAGATATTGCGATGTTGCCGCCTCAGTTTTCTTTTTCGTGATTGAAAACAAGAGTCTCCTTAATTCAGCCTCTGATTTATTTACTTTCTGTATCCCTGAATCAGATGGTGCGCATATTTGATCTTTAGAACGAAGGAAGACGACTTGAAGGTGATTCGATGGACGGCACATTTTGTGTCAGAACGGCATGCGATATATCGCATCAATTTGTTCCATTTTTTCAGCTACTCGTCATTTTTCTCCAATTTTGAGAACGCAATTCTGTTGTCAGGAGCCTAAAGCACTCACTTACCAATTTTAACAAAGATATTCAACGAAGTAAAGGCGTGGTTTTTTTCAGAGAGAAAACATCGCATTCGATACTGATATCGAAACTGCACTCGAATGCGATGTTTTCTCTCTAAAAAAAACCACGCCTTTATTCCGTTGAATTTCTTTGTTAAAATCGGTAAGAGAGTGCTTCAGTCTCCTGACAACAGAATTGCGATCTCAAAATTGGAGAAAAATGACGAGTAGCTGAAAAAATGGAACCAATTGATGCGATATATCGCATGCCGTTCTGACACAAAATATGGCGTCCATCGAATCACCTTAAACATATTTTATCGAACCGATTCAATATTTTCCTGCTTCCCGAAACCCATTACATCATGTCTAAGAGCGTAAGAAGCCGACACATTTTCAGTACCGTATTCCTGCATCCGAAGAGATATTTTGATTTCCACCAATTTTGCCGTCGACAACAGTACTAAAGTCAGCATTGGAGGTTGTATCCTCCAGTTTCAGCGTACAGTTTTGACTTCCACATGTTTCATCAGCAATCCGAGGACCACTCGCTGCTACAACTTCAACACTCGATGTACAACGATCATCCATCAGGGGCGTGGACAAACACTGACGTATGATGTGGGATATCCTCTCTCGCAGTTCTGTCATCTGGCTTAAGTTTCCTGGCACACTCGACACTAGAGATCGATTCAAATCGCGACCCAAGCTACACGGACATGGGATAGTCGATGTTAGATCGCTCACTGATGTTGACATGCATTTCTTTCTTCCAGCAGGAGGCCGGATTGCGAGGGAAATACGAGGAACCATCTTCTTCTGATTGGTTCTTCGGGTAGATTCAAACGATTTCTGTTGGTCAGTTGACGGTGCTTCAGTTTCAGTTTCAGTTTCAGGGAGTGGCGATTGTGTAAAGGAGGTGAAATCGCTGCTTTTTACCTTCAGCTCGTCAATTGAATAATGTGAATTAATACTGCTCTGCTTTATTAAATTTTTTATGAGTCCTTGTAATTTAAGTGTAAGCTGATTTTTGTCCGGAATATTTGAGATAGTATTGTTTTGTGCACAAGGAACAGTAGTTTCATCAACCGAAGGCGGAACAGTAGTATCATCAACCGAATGCGGAACAGTAGTATCATCAACCGAAGACGAGACAGTAGTATCATCAACCGAAGGCGGAGCAGTAGCATCATCAACCGAAGGCGGAGCAGTGGTATCATCAACCGAAGGCGGAACAGTAGTATCATCAACCGAAGGCGTTGTCAAACATCGATAAATGACGTCAGATATAATATCTCGAAATTTTGGTTCGCTCGACGCTTGAGTTTGATCTGAGCCCGGACGTGGACTCCACGAAGGAGTAATAGTCGATGTTGAATGACACACTGGGGTTGACTCACATTTTTTCTTCCCACCGTGAGAGCGGATTGCAAGGCAGAGAGGAAGGGCAGTCGTGCTCTGATTGGTTCTTCTGGTTGAGGTACGAGATTCCTGGTGTTCTGTCGACGGTACTTCAGTTCCAGTGTCAGGTTTTGCGGAGGAAATAACGCAAGGATCGCTTGTTTTCTTCAGTTGCGTCGGCGGATAATTTGAACCATCATTCATGCTCTGTCTGACTATATTTTTAATCAGCTCTTGCAACCGAAGAGGGAATCGATTCTTCTGCGGCGCATTTGAGGCAATATTGCTGCACGCCCAAGAGAGGGTGGTTTCTGCATTGATCGAGGATTTTGACTCGGTAGAACTGTGATGTTTTACCGGTAAATTTTCCACTTCACAAGCACAAGTCGCGGCTGTTTCTGGATTGATTTGTGATTTTGACTCGTCAGAAAAACTCCGATGTTCCTCAAACGAATTTTCCATTCCGCGAGCAGGCGGCGCAGTTGAAAAACAAGGCGCGGTTGTTTCGGAATTGATCGTTAGTTTTGACTCGGAGGAGCTTCGATGTTCTTCGGACGAATTTTCCATTCCACCAGGAGAAATTGACGTTGTGGAGCATGGCACAGTAATAGTCGGGTCTTCGAAGCTCTGATTTTTTTCGGAATTCTGATACTGGTCTCTTTTCGGATCAAGATTCGTGGTGGGAATTCTGGTGGTGGTAGTTTTTCGCTCAGATGAGCAATTTTTCATGATGTCAAGTATGATATCCCGTAACTCACTTTCTAAGTTACTGGACTTCGGGATGCCGGCAGCAGGTGTGGCCTCTGCCGATGGAGAAAGTCGCGGAGGACAACTCTCAACGCACTGAAATTTTCCGTGACAAACGGTCGTCCGACAAATTGGAGTATCGTCTTTCAGTGGATGAGGCCTCGGCCCTCTCTCGAGGTAACTTTCAGTCATTGCCTCCGTTTCGTTAGATTTTACATCGGTGATGTAATTAATATTGCTGGCATGTTTTAAATCATCCCATTTCGATTTTAAAAGAAACCATGATGTTGTTACATATTCGTCAGCTGGGTCTGATTTTGAATGATTTTCACGATCAGCATGAAAATAAAGTCCAGTTTGCTCTGTAGGTGTAAGAAAAGTTATCTTGTTTTTTCTCAGCCAGTTTAGCCACGCGGGGGGTAAGGAACTTTGTGGAGTTTGATCAATTGAGGATAGCACGATTTTAGGATTTGAGGATACATTTTCAGTGTTGGGATATTTTTTCTGAGGGCTTTGTAACTCTTGCTGATTTATAAATGGATTAAACACTTTGAGACCGTTCGAATAGTCTACGAATCTCCCAACTGTCGGATTTCTGAGGGTGTAGTTTAGATTTTGCTGCCTCGGAGGTTGAGATGTGTTTGGTGATGGAGTGGTTTTCGGAGCGTCAAAAGTGATGGATGGAGTGGTTTTCGGAGCGTCAAAAGTGAAGGATGAAGAGGTTTTTGGAACGTCAAAAGTGAAGGATGGAGTGGTTTTTGGAACGTCAAAAGTGAAGGATGGAGTGTTCATTTGCCCAGCATACGGAAACCGGTTTCGGATGTGGTTCGGTGCAATTGTGAATCCGTATTTTTCCAATTTTTCTCGGAGTCTCTCCAGTTCTGTTCGATCTGGCGCGCAGGTGGGTTTCTTGAACATAGCGCACTTGACTTTACAGGGTGTGACTCTTGGCGGCAAAGTTGTCTTTTGAATCAATGTAGGAGGGGCGAGGAATGTAAAATTGGTGGGAGCAGTTGGATTCGACGGGCGAGAGGTTAGATTGCATACAAGAGCCTTGGTAGTGGTTTTGATTGTCGATGGCGTATTTGCAGTTAAATTGCAGCTACATGCTCTGGTGGTAGGTTTAGTTGAGGTTAAATTACAACCGCGTGTTTTAGTAGTAAATTTGATTGAAGTTGGCTTGCAGTCACATCTTTTGGTGGTAGGATTAGTTGAGGTTGGCTTGCAGTCACATCTTTTGGTGGTAGGATTAGTTGAGGTTGATTTGCAGCCACATATTTTAGTGGTAGGATTAGTCGAGGTTGATTTGCAGCCACATATTTTAGTGGTAGGATTAGTTGAGGTTGATTTGCAGCCACATATTTTAGTGGTTGGTTTATGCGCAGTTGATATTTTAGTCGTTATAGGACAAATGGAATGCCTTTTTGTTATCTGAGGAGAATAATCTGTTTTAGTAATCTTATTTAGAGGAGTTAAAATACTAGTTTTTGTCTGTTGGCTTGTTGTGCTTACGGTGTTTGAATGGAAGGCAGTGGTATTCGTTTGTCTTGGAGACGGTTCGTTCGTTTTATTTATCACATTTGTTGAAGACAAAGTTCTAGGGGTCGAAATTTCAGCTGAATGATAGGTTTCATTGACTACAATTGTAGAAGGGAGAGAACTGGTTGTCTTAACTTCAGTAGGTTGGTTCGTTAAATCTACAATATTTGAGGGAGATGTATAGCTCGTATGGTTGGTTGCATGAGCTGAATTTGAAGGGGATTTAGGTAGTTCATCCTGGCCTGGCGTTGGCGATGCTGTCGAGGGTGCCCCTTTCAATAATTCGTAGATAGGTTTCAGTTTCTGAATCCGATGAGAAATCTTTTTTTCTGCGGGGTCTGATTCGAACACATAATTGCTGTTGCAGCAGGAACGATCATCCGGAATTTTGCTCTTCTTAGAAAAAAAGAATCGCTTACATCGGAGGCAGTTGTTTAAGTTAAATGGATGAAATTCGACATTCGGCACTCCCTGCAAATATTAAACAGTTCCAACGATAAAATATTGATCCTGACCATACGTGTTTGATGAAATCTGATATTCATATTACGATCATGATAATCAAAGTGTGTATAGTTTGAAAAGATGCCATCTCGTTTTTTGAAAAAAAATGGCCGTTCGATCTGTTTGAAGGCTGATTACTTATAGTTTCTCAAATAAACACAAAGGACGTATTCAAAGCCTGAAATGGCTTTGCCGACAGAAAAAATTGATCAGCAGAGACGTATCCAGCAATTTGGCAACACCGGATTCCCTCCATTTAAACCTATGTTAAATAATCGTGCTGTTAAATATGTTAAATAATCGTACATTACCATAGGTTAATGGGGAAAAACAATATTGCCGATTTGCTGGATCCGCCAGTGTTGATCAGTGTGAACGAGCTTGATGGAAAAAGGCCGATTGAAGAGTTTCAGAAAAGCGACCATGGCTTATTTTTTAAACTAAATGATTCCATTCGTAGTACCTAGGTTGATTTTATTTTCTTTAAAATCTTTTTTTTGAGGACTACCAAGCAACTTTCAGCGTTATTTTACGGGGAAAATAACTTTTAGGAGACATGAGAATCGCACAAAGCTCAAAATAATACTCTTGAGTTGAGCTCATCCCATTATTTCCCATTTCCATTGAGGTAAAAAAAGGAAACATGGAGACCTAAATTTTAAAGCTCATTAATGAAGATTCATCACACATAGCATGATGTGGACTTCTGTAGGGCTGAGTCACATTACACAAAAGTTTTAGCACCCTCGCGGGCATCATTCCAGGCTAACAGCGCACAGTGGATTGAGTCAATGGGAAAGGTCGGACGAAATTTGGAAACTTTAATAACTTGGTTTACACACAACTTTGAGGCTCTAAAAGCAGAGGCGGATCCAGCAGTTTGGCAACACCGGATTCCTTCCATTTAAACCTATGTTAAAAAATCGATTCTTGTCGGAGCATCGGGGACCCTCTAAGTATCGATACATTTCCATAGATTCAAACGGAGAAAAACAATGCTGCCAATTTGCTGGATCCGCCAATGTCTAAAAGTGGTTTCATTAGTTTCCTCGTGCGATGTTCTTCAGGAGCCAACCCTTAAAGATACAAATGTAGCGAAATAAACATAAAAATTGGCAGTTTTAGTTAAAATTTCATGTTCGATCGACCTCTCTGTTTGGCTCGATCCACTGTGCGGCGGTGCACGGCTCGGAGTCCCACCGAATTCCGGACTCCTTCTGTCATATCGTAACATTTTAAGCAAGGATTTTAAAACTCGTAAAACCAGTGGCACCATCGTGTTTCTCGCAAACTTTTACATAGAAATCAACAGTCAAATCGCAAATTCCTCTCACATGCAACATCTCCATTCCTTGGTTGAATCTGATTGAAAATGTTACTGAATTTTATCGGCAGCACTAGGAAAATTCAGTGAAATTTTCGGACAGCTTCGTTGAGCAATTTCTCTGTAAAAAAATAAAAAGGCGGCGGAAATGTTGAAACGTCGCATGGCGCTTGTGATTTTTCGGCCGGGAGGTGACGATGTGTTAATACATATATGTAACACTGAAATTTGTTAAAAGAGTCACAGGAATCGGTAGTAGTTCATCGAACTCCTTCATTGGCCTCCGGTTGAATTTCATGAATTGATGAGTCTGGAACGATACTTGAATAATTCCTCGCCCTAATTCCGTCAAACTTCTGTCCCTCATTCGATTCATTATTTCCCCGTAAAGAAGATACCCTTTCTCCTTGGAAGCGGAAAAAACAATTGGAAGAGACGAAAGTGGGAGTGTCTTAGCACAATTTCAAGAGAATCTCGGAAAACTCGTAGGAAAACTTATTGGAAGTTCGACTAATTTCAAAGCGTTGCCATTCTACCGAAACAAACTCAGATGTGATCGTTCGCGGGGGAAAGGAGGAAAAATTTTCGGTAGGTAGGTGGAACGATTTATGTCGATGTTAAATTGAAAAATCGGATTTTAAGATCTAGGCGGACTGCAAGTACACAGTATGAAAAAGTCAACAAAATGTCGTGTTAATATCCCAAGTAACATAGTGCGATGAAAATACTGAAGTAAAATTGCGATTTATTGCATTAAAATTGAAATTTTTAACCATGAAATTGCAATATTTTTTCGTCATTTGCTCATGCCGATTTTGAACAATCGACAGAGTGAGTTCCGTGTGTGTCAGAAAGATAGGCAATATGCAGTACAATGGAAAACTGCAACTTATTCCAATTTTATTGCAATATATTTCAGTGAGCTGTGTGCCTTCAATCAGTAGATAGGCAATATACACAAACTCCAATGCAATAGAAATAATTTTACAATACATTTGCAATTTACAGTAATCTATATTAGGCACTTAGGTAGAAAGTAATACACGAAGTAACACAAGTGGTTGGTTGATTTTTTTTTGTGTTAGTTTTCCCTATGTCAAATCGACCGAATCTTTAGGTTGAATGGACCAAATCTGTGTGTTGAAAAGCTGCGACCTCATTAAAAATTAGTTGCTATCCTCCCACGGCTCGTCTGAACCAACTTCAAATGAAAAGTCGATGACACCAAAAAGTCTCTTCGGTAGCTTGAACTAGGATGAAAGTACTGTCATTTAAGCCAAAAACGAAAAAAATCCGTCGGGCTCTTCGAAAATAAAAACGACGCGACGTCGGTAGACCCGCAGCGAAATGAAGTTGTCTCGGTAAAAATCGATTATCTCGCAAACCAGCAGTCCAAAAATAAAAATGTATAGCTCGTTAGAAAGCTAAAATCTTGTAGAACAATATGATGTTGTAATGTTAACTTTTTTGTCGCTCTTTTCCTCCCCGACAATTAGAGAAATTTAATTTTTTGAAAGAACCACGCATGTTAACATATAAATCGCTTTTATTTTCGAAGAGCCCGACGGATATTTTTCGTTTTTGACTTAAATGGACCGCGTTTAACAGAAGGGAACCAAGCCACATCAGCTATTGCCACATTTAAGTGGGCAATTTAATTTTTTACGAGAGAACTTTTGTGCTGATTCTTTTGAAAATTTTACGGAATTTGCTTCGCTCTATGGAGAAAATTCACTGAAATTTGCATGAAAATCTGCACAACCGTTTTCATATAACAAATAAAATTGCCCAATGAAATTTGGCATTAGCTGATGTGGCTTGGTTCCTTTCTGTTTAACGCGGTCCAAATGACATTACTTGCATCCTACTTCAAGCTCCAGAAGAGACCTATTGGTGTCATCGACTTTTCATTTAAAGTTGGTTCAGACGAGCCATGCTCCAGGATTAAACCTGGGTCACATGAGTGATATCGTCCAATGAGCTAGCCACTCGCAAGTCGCAACCCCTGATCATAGATAAGAAAACAAGAGTACATAAGTTCGGCAGGAAACTTTGCAACCAAGTCCTTCAGGTTGACCTGACACAAAAAAAAGTAACACAGAGACATCCAACACGGAAATTTGTAACTGTGAAGATGGAATAATTTTCGGACTATACTTCTCTTTTAAAAAGTCTCAAATGCAAATTATGATAACAATCGGTAATGGGCAAGTTTTCACAAGTTCTAGGAACTGCAAGTAGAGGGTAATCAATTCAATTACGTTTCACAAGCCGAGCAGAAACGAATTTCCACGAGTCTCGAACTCATTAAGCTTGAATTCCGGGAAAAATTATGTCAGGAAATACATTATTATTAAAAATGTAGGTATTTCGATACGGAAAACATATTTTAGCGGTGGCGTTCTTAAATTGTTAAATTCCAAGTAAAAAGCACGAACTATCCGACTGTTGACAAATGGTAATCCTATTCACTACATACCTACTATCTATACTTTAGAATAAAAAAAAAATTTTAAGATTTTACCTCGGTTGTTCCATATGCAGATTCAACCATTCGGGAAGTTTTCTTCAAACCGACTGTCATCCCCCCGGATAATCTGTATAGGAAACATTAATGGAAAAAATGCTATGAATTAAATATGGAGAAGGAATAAGTATATCGATGGTCATGGGGCAAAACCACGTATATCAATCCCAAGTAGCACCGATTGCAATACTGTCGTGCTAAGGAAAAACGCCGTATGAACATTTGAGTTGGCAACTTTATTTCGATAAAATGTTTATTTTTGAGGAAAGTTATGAATATTTTTCCTTGACATTTTCAGAATCTATAAGCTAAATCGCGAACAAAATTATCTGAAAAATTGGAAGGAAAATATTCATAAGTATACCAGAAAATTCGCATTTTTTGATAGGAAATTTGGCAACGCCTGAAGGTTCATACGACGCGACGTTCTTCCGTAGCGCGGCAAAATATGTAGCAATTATTACATGGTAAAATTATTGCAATTCCCCTGTGTGTTGTGTATTTTGCCTAGCTCCAATTTGAAGGGGCCCCATTTATTGAAACTTATTGCGATAAAATTGAAACAAGTCGCAATTTTTCATTGCATTGCAGACTGCCTATTTTTCTGACACATGATGCTCATTTCGTTGATTGTTTAAAATTGGAATAAATCGACTAAAAGATGTATAAATATTGCAATATAATGGTAAAAAAATTACAATTATCTTGAAATCGTATTCAATTTAATTTCAATATTTTCGTTGCACTGTGCTACTTGGGATTGCAGTGTTTCAAAATTTTCGCTTCTACTTAATTTATTTTTTTAAAGAGAAGCAAGCCAACTTTGTAACTTGAAAGAGCCGTATGCAAAAACGACATTTTTCGCCCCCCCCCCACTAAAACTTATTCAAGCTTCGTCTATCAGTTACAAATACTGGAGCGCTTCTTTCCCCAAATTTTCAGACCCCCAAAAAATTTTGGGGGGGCGCAAGGGGGGGGGGTGGAAGTCAAAACCTGTGAACCTCGATATCTTTCGAACGAAACAAGATATTGAGGTCCGGTTTGGACGAAAAATCGTCATAAATTGCATACTTTAAGATTCTAAAGGTAAAAATCCCAAAATTAAATTTTTAAATTAACTTATGTGCTTTTTTCAGTTTTTGAGGAAAAACAATTTCTTTTAAACAGATTAAACTGAAATTTCACATTTTTTGATTTGAACCAAAACCAGTTTTTTAAATTG